ATTGTGAAATGCAATCAATAAGCTGACTATGGCAGATGCTGTGTTCCAGTATGACTGTAAGAAGTAGGTCAGAGAGGTTATATTTGAAACAGATTAACAAAAGAAATATTATGCGTCTGCGCTTGGTAGAAAGTGGCAGAGTGAGGTCTGGTGGATTTTGATGGATGGCACTCATCTAGAGGTCTCTTAGAGGAGGAGCAAAGCTGGGTGAAGGCTCTCACTGTGCAGCAAGCTGCATTTGTATGGAAGACAGCAGACTATTGCGCATTATAAATGCAGTGGGGAAGACTGAACAAACTGAGGAATTCTGGCCAAGCAGTGAGAGAGGTTTTGTAGTCATGTAGGTGTTGTGGAAGAAGTTGGATTTGGGCAAGGCTGTGAGAGTGGGCCACCCATGTCTCTGCAGCTGGGAGAGGAGGTGTGTTGAGCTGACATTGCCCAGCGCAGAACTGAAAAGGTTTTTCGGTCACGTGGGTAGTTTGGACTAGTGAAAATTTGTGCAGGCAGGCAACAGTGCTAACTTCAGTGTGAGGATGGAGAGTACTCAAAGCAGTTACCATTCTTTTTGGCATTTGTAGTAAATTGGCAAGCACCTTGCTTTGAGGATTTGTGGCATGGGTCATTGAGAAGACTAGACAGATTTGATGGAAAAATGGTCTTGGTCCCCCTCCTTTGTGGATGGTCCGGTCAGAGATTCTGTGCCTGAAGGAAAGACCCTCAGTCTCAGCTGTGGGGTTTAGAGCAGGCTTCTGCTCTGGACTTTAACTGAGAGCCTGCTTTATTGCCAAGTGGTGTCTTCTCTTGCCTTCCATCAGTTTTTGCTTTTCTCCCTTCTTTCCTGCTTCCAGTCTGCAGCAAATTGCCTTTGTGCCTCTCTATTCTCCGCTGCTTTCCTCATGCAAGAAAGAAAAGGTTGAATAAAAGTGAAGGAAGCGTTTGCATTATAGGAGAGTGGAAGTGTTTAATCCCAATTAAATGTGGAAAGAGTAAGACCAAAACTCAAATTCTTTTCTGTTCATGTTTGACTTACAGAGCTTCCAGCTTAGTAAATCATTGACCTCAGGAAGGTTATTGAAGTAGAACAATCAATCAAACAAAAACCCACAATCCTTATCTTTTAAATGACCTTTATTTATATATGCTCGTACCCTGGGTGTTGATAACGGGGCTTAGCAAACCAACATCTCATTGTGTTTTATGTAGTGTTAATTTTGAGTACTTCAGCTCAGATTCTTAAGGTGGGAAGGAGTACAGTGATGTAGTACAGGTCACTCAGGATCTGTGAGGGCTCCTGTAGAATAGATGGTGAAAGAGAGAGTGAGAGTGATGGTGGTAGAACAGAAGTAAAAGCTCTGAAACATGACCTGTAAAATAAAAAAATGCAATGCAATTTGCGTGCCTGCATGCATGTATTCTCAGGGGTTTACCTCAACCATCTCTTGTTATTCAGATATCTTCTTGATACTCAGAGTGTTACGCTAGCAAATGAGTTCAGCGCTTGCAAAGATACGCTCATAGATTCAGCAGCCATTGCCCTGCAATATTTAAGCCCTGCTCTCTTTGTCAGACTTTAACCCTGTTGCATTTTGCTCTTGATAGCTATTTTTGATGATAATTTAGATAAGCTGGGTATTTGCTTACCTCATGTTCTCTCCTGTTTGAGTCACTGAGAAGAACGGAATGTTTTGCCTTCCACAGGCTGTGCCCCAGTGATAACCCATGATGTGCCCACATGCAACCCTAGAGTCTAAGGGGCTTTATCATAGAAAGTTCAGGGCCAGAAGTCTAGAGAAGAGCATTTAACTGTGCTGTCCTCAAAGAAAAGGTATTTGTACCGGTTAATAAGAGTTACGTGTTTTAAAGCTCTGAACCCGGTACTCCCTAAAGTTAATGGGAAGAGGAAAGCCCTTCAGCTGGCTTTACGGTTGAACACATCCCACTGACGTCACTTGAATCTTGGGGCTGAGGCAGTGGCCGTGTCTCTGCCACACAATGCCGCTCTGTGCAGGGCACCCCAAGTTACCTCCGAGACACCGTGCCTGCGGCAGTGCTGCATCAGAGACCCCCGCAGGCAGCTCTGTGCCCTAGGGTGTTAAGTGCTGCTGCGCAGCCTCCAGTGCCGTGGCAGCTCATCCAGCGCCATGTCGGACATTTCTTCACTAAGCCTCTTTACAAGTTTACCTGTGTCTTCTGACTCTTTTGCTTGCCACTGTGCTGTTGGTTCTCCATCTGAACCTCAAAGCCAGGAGCATGAGGGGGTCTGAGCCAGTCCCATCTCAGGCAGAACACTGTAGAAGTAGATGGAAGAAAAAGTCTCTTGAATTATTTTGGTTATTCATTTGTATAGAGTTAAATCATATCCTGTATGCTTCTTATGTTAATACTCATTCAGAAACAGCAAATCTCTATTTAGTCTGTATTTTTCTACCTTTGATTGTTTTGTTTCTTTTGCTCTAACTTTTGGGGATATCCGGTGAGTTTGTCATCCTCTAAAGCAGTCAAAAAATACATCGTATGAAGGCAAATGACAAATTGCTTTTGTGCTTCTTCATTGTATTTCTTCCCCTGTGGCTTCTTAGGTCGGATGTTAAAATTGCAAGTTCTTAGTTAATTTGTATTTTCAAGATGCTTAGGACACCTCTTCAGAATCATAAATAATTATTGTGAAGTATATGATAGGCTTGATGGTCTGTTATTGTGATAACTAATAGCTCTGGTTTGGCAGATGCTTCTAAGAGCAGCTGTGTTTGTGATTGCTTGACATTTCTTCAATTTTCGCTTAATCCAAAGATTCATTGCATTCCAAGCATAAAGCATGGCTTTGCACTAAAAGAAAAAAAGTTATATTAATAATCTCAGGAATGTTTGGGGTGCTTTTCTAGTCACTGCTGCATTGCTTCAGAGGTATTTTCTTTCCCTTGTTTAAACAATCAACTTTAAGTTTTTCAGACAGTTCATTCCAACTGATTGAACTTTCATATAAGCATGTAACTCTCCAAAGATCAAAAATTGCCTCAGGATATTTTTAATTTAATAAAGAACCAAGCTGACTTCAGACTTATACAGACTGCATAAATCCAAAACTCCAGAATCTAATAAATCTAAAACTTTTTAATTAAAAGTGGAGCTATCTCAATTTAAATAAAGCGGAGTCAGACATGTCTTTCTGTCATATTTTTGGGGAATTGCCATTTAGCCCCATGAATAGCCATTTACAGTAAAAGGGAGGAGAAAAGACTGAATAAGTTGAGCCAGGGATAGCAATCCTTTAATCTTCCAGCTGTCTTGCTAGAGTTATCTGTTCCTAGAAAATACGACATCACATCTGAGGACCTCCAATGGGTATTTTGCAAACGTATAATGTAACTGACACATTTTAATCATTCAAATACCATTAAGAAGTTGCTTTAACTGTTACCAGAAAGACTCTTAACACCCCAGAAGACAGGGTAGTGAATTTTGTCATCTTTTCTTGGAAAATAATCCTCTCTTGTTGTTTTGGGGCATTCACTTTCTTTCTTCTGCTCATTCTAATAAGTACCTAACTATAGATGTAACTCCAGCAGCATTTAAACATACGCTGAGTTATGTTGTGCAGTATGGATGACTTGTTAAATTGGAGGCATGGGCTAGAGATTTGAGGTTCCTCCCACTGTTAATTATTTTGACTGTAACAGTCCTGGTCATTAATTGTAAATTGTCAGGTTATATGGATGTGTAACACGGGAGTTTATAGCGGGTGATTTTTTAGTAATCTTTTCCAATCCCAAAATCCATGGTATCCTTCCTATCTTTTCTCATGCAGCCCTTTGAAGTATTTGGTCGGTGCTGATCCCACTCAGCCGATTCAGGGTATAAGCGAACACTGAAACAGATCCATAGCAAGCTGTGAGGGTTGACATCGAGGTGTTGCTCTCTTTATGTGCTGTTCATTCCTCAAGGAGAAATTCTGGTGACTCAGAATTTGGAGTAAGAACTTAAAAATTTGGCAGCAGCGTGTCAGGGCGTTCCTTTGCCTGCCCGTGGGCCTTCAGAGGCCAAACCAGCATTCCTGGTGATGGTTGCCTCAAGCTGTCCTAGTCCAGGGTGAGCCTGGACGTCCACACTCAGATGCAAAGGAGCCCATGTCACTTCCCCTGTTGAGAAGCAACTGATGGCACATCTGCAGCAGGTAGAAGCAAGTACAAAGACAGGCATGATGGGACTGGATGATGACAAGGAGATAAACGAGACCGAGTTTGACCAGACAGGGATGGAAAGCAGTAACAAGTGATGGGTGAGCTGTGGGACAAAGCTGAGATGAATGAGAAGGAGGGGGAAGAAATGGGACTTGATCTGGCCAGGTAAGAGAGGGAAAACCAAGAACTATCGTAAGGAAGACTGGGGCTTCATTACAAAGGGAGAAACTAACCAGGCTGGAAGATTGCTTGCTATATATTTCCTAACTTCTACTAGCTTTGCTACAACTTGGCTCTTTCTAAATAGAGCTTTGTGAAGTGTGGATAATACTACTATATTACATACTTCTTATGTACTATGCTATTATGTGTATTTTCATTGTGTGTGTGCATGCATAACGTACGCAGTACTGTGCTTGGCTGCAGGGGGTTCATAACATGGACCATGAGCACAGGTCTTTTGTTTGTACTCCCTGGTAACTTTTTTGGTTGAAATAATTCTTTTGAGTAAAGACTGCAGGATGCGACCCATTGGCTTACTGAGACTGTTTGTGCTAACAGGAGACTGAAGAGAACGGTTAGTTGGCATCCCCTGCCATGGCCAAGTTAGCATCAGTGTGAATTCCTAGGAGCAGAGGATTCAACCTAGGGTCCACGAGCCTGGTTGGTTGTTTTCATATTATCACTGGAAGCTTAAAGTTGTCTTCAGTTCTCCCTTGCTTTTTTTGCTTAGAAAGTAGCCAGACAACTGCCATTTTTGCTCAGAGTAAGGAATCAAGAATTCAGTACGTGTGTTGGGACTTACTGTGTCATACAGATATTTACTGCTGCCAAGTAACAGAAGAGGACATCATAATTTTGAGGAGACTAGTCATAACGGAAGCCATTGTTGGTTTTACAATAAAACCTTCTTCAAGCAATTAAGAAAATGTTTTTGTCTCAGGTCCAGTGTTTACATTGTTAATGGCATCTTTTCTTTTTCAGAACAATAAATCTAAACAGTAGTTTACTGCAACAAGTAATAGAAAGAAAACGTGAAGTGCTGTGCATCTTGAGAGAAAAGATAATAACAACTCAGAAGTGTACAATATCTGAACATATCCAGACAGAAGAAAAGATCAGTGGTGTGGTGGGATGCAGTACAAAAATAGTAAAGGTAAAATTTGTTAAAAATCTGCAAGGAATAGAACATTTCCAGGTTATCTGAGAAGAAATTACAATTTCTCCAAATAGGCTTCAGAGTATTTTTCATGCTTCCTTAACATGTTAAATTCACTGCATTGTTTAGTTGTGAAACTTCAGAAAGGTAAAATTTTTTTTCCATTGCCTCACTGGCAAAAGGTGCCATCTTTTAGTGTGAGCCTGGAATGTGGTTTCCATCAATACTGTCAAATTGTGATTCAGTTTCTATGTAGATTCCTGCCTACACCAGAACATAAAACAAACATATAACAATTCAGTGAAAGTTGAAGAGCAAAAAGCATTGCTGAAGCAAATTTATTTGAAAAGCCAGGTAATCATTCATCAAAAATGTTCGCAGTGTCTACTGAGTTTTAGTAGTTATTGAGAACCTATTTGTTTTTGATCATGGCAGTAGAGATTAATTGCATTATGAAGATATCTGAAAAATTGCCTATGAATTGAGAAGGTAATTACCAAAGTCAAAACATATGCTCATTCACTGTAAGTTGTGGTTTTGGTTTGTTGTTTGTTTTTTTTTTTTTAAAGCTGCAGATGAATCACTTCTGTGCACAGGGTGTCTCCAACCTGGGAGTTGCAGTTCAGCAACCCTCTGTGCAAGTGCCACCTTCCTGGTACCAGTCTCCAGCTGGGCAAAAGGGGTGTCAGGACAGAAGAGGGCAGGGCAGGGTACTGAAGTGGGTGCCCATTTCCTAGCGACACAGTGCTTCATGTGTGACAAAAGCTGCACCTGGAGCTCAACTTTGTACTAGGACAGGGTAGCTAAGAGTTTGAGAGCCATTCTTGGCATTGTTCTACCTCACTGCTCATCTTACTCCTTTCATAGATGTCAAATGTAACATGTGCTTTATCTCCAGGATGTGGAACATCATGGAGAATAGAGCACATTCTTCCTCTATTTTTTTCCCGTTAATTAATTCTGTGTTTAAGCTACACAGTAGCTGAATCAGATAAACAGTGAATAAATATGTCCTCTAGGTTTCAGTGAGTGAAAATGGAAGTATGATGAAGGATTCTAGTGTGATCCTTGAAATTCCTCCTGCAACCACCATTGCCTATGGTGTAATCGAACTGTTTATAAAGCACAGCGGCCAGTTCGGTAAGTATAAAGCTTGTTTTCTGTGGCATGAAGTTCAGCTGTGGACAAGAGCTGTCTGTTGGGCAATGACTTTTGCATTTCCCTGTGTATGATGTTGTATGGTCTCCATTGCCTTGGTACTGATTTTCTGAGTAGTAATGCTTTTTCACTTGTTTGCATAAATCCTAAAATTATAAAAAATTAGGTTTCAGGGGACCGCAGGTGGTCATCTAGCTCAAGGCAGGGCCAACGTCTGAAGTTTGATCTAAGTTCAAAGTTGGATCAGATTGCTCATAGCCTTGCCTATTCAAATTTTGAATATCTCCACGGGTGGAGATTCCATCACCCCTCTGGGCAGTCTGTTCTCGTGTTTGACCACCATCATGGAGAACTTTTCTTTCTTTCTTAATATCTACTGAGAATTTCCCTTTCTTTAACTTCTGTCTCTTGCCTTTTGTCCTGTTGTCATACAGAAGAGTCTGGCTCTGTTTTCTGACCGTACTTCCATTGAGTGGCTGTAGATAGCAATAAGGTTCTCCCTTAGCAACATTTTCTCCAAGCTGGACAAACCCATTCTCTCAGCCTCTTCTCATACATGATGTTCTCCAACCCTCAGTGATCTTGGTGGCTGTTTGCTAGATTGCTCCAGTATGTGAATGTCTGTCTTGTACGGGGGAGCCCAAAATGGGACACAGCACTCTGGCGCAGCCTCCCAAATTGAAAAATCACTTTCATTGATCTGCTAGCTACAGTCTTGCCAGTACAGCCCAGCATGCAGCAAACTTCAATAACTGCAAGGGCATGCTGCTGATCCTCTCGAATTTGTTGTCCAGGTCTTTTTCCGCAATTATGCTTCTAGCTAGCTGGCCCTCAGCCCGTGCTGTTGGCAGAGAGAATATAAATTGACAGTTAACCAGGAATGTTTAGACAAAAGTCATGCTAAGAAAAGAATTATTCATAAAGTATAGGACTGGAATTTAAACTTTTCTGTCTGTTTTACACTTTCATATATAGATTGTTCTCAGAATGGTTGCAGAAATGTCCTTTCACGCTTTACTTATTTCAGGTCAAATACTTTTGGGTGTTGAGTTATAAAAAGTTGAAACTGGCTTTGGGGGGAGTAGTAACTCTGCTCTGCAGAATCACCTGGATTTTTCTTTCTTGTCTATCCTCAGTTAAACTCCCTGACCTAAAGGAGGTTTCAGGGGATGTTATGCAAGAAGGAAGGAAATCGGATGGACTGTGTAGGGCTGGAAGTTGGAAAGGTCTGATGTGGAGAGAAACACGAGATAATGTTGAAGAAATAATTAAGTGCAGTTGAGGTTTGAATCCAGGATGCACTTTATTTGGATAAGAAATGCAGAAGATAGTCTCTGTCATTCTCCTTCAACTGACTTCTGATATTAAGGAAGTCCCTAGGTTCAGGAATATAAGTAAATACCATGTGACCTGTAAAGACATTTCTGAAATGTGGAATTGCTCTGACATAGACTGAACAGAGAGATGTACCAGAAGGCATTGACTTCATGGTCATAATAGAAGTGTAATTCAGAGTAACCAGGTGCATTTAAGGCTATCTGACTACATAGGTGTATAGCTGATAGCCTACTTACGTGATTTCTAGATGGAAATTCCTGTGTCCTGCTAGCTGATCATATATGGGTCTTGTTAATGATCTGTATTTCTGTGCTCTTTCTCCACTTCTGCTTCTTTTTCCACTTTTTTTTTTTCATATTTAATGTTATGTATTTTAAGCTTCAAAACTAGCACAGCTGTTTCATGTTTTACCTCAAACAACCTATGTATTTTCTCCTTTTTTTTAACTTGTGCTGTCTTCCCTTGCCTGATTGTCATTGAGAAAGTAAAAGGAAATGAGGAAAAAATTCTTCACCGAAAGGGTTGTCAGGCTCTGGAATGGGCTGCCCAGGGAGGTGGTAAGAGTCCTCATCCCTGGAGGTATTTAAAAGAAGGATAGATGAGGTGCTTAGGGACATGGTTTAGTGGTGGGATGGCAGGGTTAGGTTAAAGGTTGGACTCGATGATCTTAAAGGTCTTTTCCAACCAAAGTGATTCTATGATTCTAAAGTGGAGGAACTAATAGCAAAATTAGGGATTTGCCAGCAAGACTAAGTATGGTGGAGCCTAACCTTCAACTTCTTAATATCTGACCAATGATCAGTGTCTGTTTATGGAAATAAAAATGGCCTTTGAAGTTAAATCCAGAGAATAATGTGGTCCTTGCACGTGAGACTGAAAGTGACCAGTAGCGGGTGTAAGGTAATGGGATTCTCTTCACAGATAATTACAGAATAAGGTGCAGGTAAGATTTGGGTGTTTGTTTGTTTCTTTTTCATTGCTACTGACAGTGTTCGAGTTATTCTGTAAGGAAGGATGGTATATAAACTTTATTTAAAATGTACAGGCTAATATGACTGGACATGCTTGGACATTTTTATAAATAAATAAAAGAAGAAGAAAAAAAAAAAAAGGTCTGATCCTTTTCTGATCCCTTTACCATAATGTTTTCCTGTAATCATTCTGTTTGAACAGATTTCTACAGGCTAATTTTCCACTACCTGTAAGAGCTGTTCCTGTTAAAGGCTTTGCAGTTTTCTGTCTCTAAAGTTTCACTGCAAGTCCTCTTGTTCTTGCTTTACAAAACAGGAGGTATAGTAGCACCCGGCTGATTTGCTTTGTTCTGTTCATTGCTATATATGTGTGACTTGCTTCCTGTTAAATGTCTGTAAATTAAACAGTCCTACTCTCTTCGGCTTCTCCCCACAAAGGAGTCTCTTTGCCTTTGATTGTTTTCATTGATCATCTCTGATTTTCTTCCATTTTTGTTAACATTTCTGAATAATTAACAGGATCTAACTGCACTAGTGGAGGTTTGTCATTGATGGATGTAATAGAATTCAATAGAGAAAATATCACAGTATTCTGTATATTCTTTCATTCACTTATTTTCCCTTGTCTTTTTTTTTTTTTTAAAGAGTATGACAAAATTAATGAGATCCAAAATTAATTAACAGTCCTATTAATACAAAACTTTTGGAGTCCTGTATTTTCCTCTGAATTGAGCCCTATTACAAGATTTAACAGCAGGATCTGTTCTCTTAAAACTTGTCACATGATGATGTGTATTGATTTCCCTTATTGGCATCGTTCTGCCTTAGAAGGGCAGGTAGTTTATTGGCATTATCTTACTCCTTCAGGGTTCGTGTGAAAGCCTTGTTAGTATCAATGAAAGTAACACCAGTGTGTTGGCCTTATGGTGCCTTAGCTGCTGTCCAGAGTCTTGTTGCTTTGGGAAGTTCTTTAATCTGTGTTAATCGCTTTCTGCTCATCTGTAGCTCGCTCTTCTCTGTGAAGGGTTATGCAGGCATAAAGGTCTCTGTCGTCCTTCTGTCTGGGGCAGAGATTTCTTTGTGTGCTCTCCCTTTGAAAAAGCTTTTTGCTGATGGAGTGCTCTCCATGCTTTCTCATCTGCTTTGAATGGCCTTAATTTGGTGCGACAGACTCTTACAACTGGAGGAAGGTTATATTTAGGTTTTGTGCCTGGTACATGTGAGCCACTGTGCTTGATTAGTTAGATTTTTTTTTTTTTCCTTTTGCTGTCAGGTATTACTTTAAAATTGAGTTCCTCTTGCTAGCCTGCATGCATTCTCCTCAGACCTGCTGCAGAGTGCCAGGGTACAGTTTCAAGCCTTGCATTTGAGCAAATAAAAGATGACCAAAATAATACATAGGCCTTGATTATATTCTGTACCTTTGGGGCACAGTATTGGACACATGAGCACTGTGCTTGATATTCCAGATTTCTTAGTGTAACTCTTGCAAAGGCTCCTTGTGTACCTTCCAGGAGCCCCTTAGCTTCATCAAGTTGGGGGCATTGGGGTGGCAGGGAATCCGCAGTCCTGTTTGCATGAGGTAGGGAAGTGCTCATCACGAAGACAAGGCAGAAAGGGTAATCCAGCCAGGGTTTGTTATTTTCTTAGTGAAATGATTTTGAAGAGACAGTATATTGCAGAGTGATTCTGTTAGTGGATATGCCTGGATGAAGTCCTTTACAGGCTCTGAGAAGTCCCCTATTTTCCACTCATCTGGAGAACTTGAGGGTGGACCTGTGGCTTGGCTCAGAAAGAGGAGTCTGTCAGAGCCACAACCAGAAGCTCTGTGAGTGACTGTCAGAGTTCAGAATCTCAGAGACTGTCAGAGTTCAGAATCTCAGAAACTGCTTTCATCTGTCTCCATCACGAATGGATCCTGTAGCCTGCATTACAGCACATCTCTTAATTGGCAGAAAATGTATAGAATTAATACGTGCATCTCTTGTATGCAGCGTTCAGGTTTATGGTCTTGGTGAGAAGTTTTCATGTTATTTGCTGTCTGCATTACTTTAATTCACAGGAGCTGGTGTAACATTTTGCAATTGGTAGCTGTATCACAGGACCTTTGCCTGTGCACACTGTAGCAAACATCAGGGCTGCAGTAATGCTCAATAATTCACATACATAGCAACCGTTGGCATTCTTCCCACCTAGAAGAGAAGAGGCATGGAGAAATCACCTGTGAGAACACTAGATAATATAAGCTAGCATCTCATTTGGTAATTGCTTGTGTATTTTATTAAATTTTTTTTATATTGAATTTCTAATTACAGAATTCTGTCTGCTAGATGAACAGCAAGGAGGTTTTGAAAAAGAAAGCACAGAAGGCTCAACTTATCCCCATTCAGCACTGTTCAGAGATGCTTTGTTTCTCTATCAGCCAGATGCTGTTGATAATGAGATGTACTCTGGGGCTAAAAACCTCATTCCCAGTGATGCTTCTTTAAGTGTATTGAAACAAGGTATTACCAGAAATGCTTTACGTGATTACATTACAATGAGTTTAAGCAATGTGATAGGAGGAAATAATCTGCTACAGTAGTACATAAGAAATTATGTTAATTCACTTTAATAGCCCTTATCAGGAGCTCTTGGGGGAATGCACTGAAAGAATAAAAAAATGTACTTCTGCAGAAGGTATATGCGGTGGACTGTTCCCTAGGAACATCCTGAATTCCTTTGTCATAAAAATGATCTTACAAAATCAGGTTTTTATGCCAGTTCTTTTACATTCCAGATAAGCTCTGTAAGATTAGTGATGATTTATGCTTTCATTCAGAAAGGGTCACTGAAAATAGTTTTTCATTATTTGGAAAATACTCTCAGTAAAGCTTCTCAGTTAAAGGTTATTTTAAGTCTCAAAAATTACAAAAACATCTCCCCCACATTCACTTAGACTCAGTATTGTCTGAGAAGCTTTTTAGAAATCTTTGGTATCGACTAAGGCTGATGAAATTAAAATGTGATTTAAAGGAAGTTTGCAAATTGATATAATGAGCCAGGCGAAACCTGTTTATTGTAGGGATGTGGAAGGAAGGGGCAGGATTGTCACCAGGGGAATGAAAAAGGGGAAAACAAATCAAGGCTTCAGAACGCACTGTACTTTTCATCAATTCTTGGTAGAGTTCTTACAGCTGGTTCTAACGATGAACATCACTTTTGTTATCTTCATATTTCACCTTTTGTTCACGGCTGTTCAGTAGACTGTGACCAAAATACATATTTGTTGTTCTGAAAGAAATTCTGTCATTCTCCAATGTAGACTGGTTTGAAAGGGATAACTGTGTCTCTGTGTACATATGAAAAACACCGATTTGTGAAAGGGTGGTATGCCACTGTTCTGGCTCTTGTCTTAGCTTGACATACCTTTGTGCCTTTCTTGCTGAAAAGGCTCGGAGGTTTCCTTTAATTAACTAACCTGAATTGTCTCTTGGGGAAAAAAGCTAAAAAAAATTGTTTCTACTAAACCAATATAAAGTAGGTTTCCTCTTCTGTTACTTGTATAGACAGTCATACGATTGCATCAGGTACAAAAAATATCTGCCTGAGGCTGGGCTTCCCCCCC